AAGGGAACTATTTCAAAGCAGCACAACAGTATTTATGTAGCCTTTTGCATAGAGGTTCAATGCAGTTTCTCTGGGGTTCTGTTCTGATCCTAGCTCATCAGTCTTTTCGTCTGGTCCAATTGTCCACACGTCAGCCTGCTAAACTCATCCCCCTACAGGAGAGTCATCACACACTGATCACGCACCTCGTTCTGACTTCCTACATAATAGACATGGACACATACATTCACCCTCACTATTGTCTTTTTTCCTGCACAGTAACAATTAACTATCTACATCTTGCTCCACACACAACAGACTCCCACATGTTGAATTTCATTTAAACCCACTAGAACTACAGATATGTCTTAGTTTTGTTTTTATTATTTTGTTTCCCATTTTATTTAGTGTTCAAAAGAAAAACAAAATTAACAAAGAATGTCTTCTCCAGTCCTTCTTAAAAAGGAATATACAGTAACTGCTGCTTGAACTCAATGTAGCCTGGAAGTGAATGCTCTGCCTGGATCATGCCCACTTAAATATGTCCCCTACATAGCACCTGTTAATTGCAGCAAGATATTGTCCCAGACGTTGTGCATTTCTCATCTGCAGCTGGAGTAGCCATGGATATTGGTTCTCTGATACTACGGCACAGACTGAGTGTTTACCTTCTCCACCTAAAGTTGTAGCTGTCATCTGGTGCTTCAGGTGCTCCTGAAGTATACAAGGGGTTCAGTACAGTTCTCCACTAATAATAGTTTAGTAGTGTCACTTGACTTTTGCTGATTCTCACAACTCAGCCTGCGGTTCACTCTCTCTATGGCAGGAGCTCATTACTGCCATCATGCTGGCACTGCTGCTCATTCTTGGATTTGAAGCAGTTAATTTTTCACTTGAACAGCTCCCACTTGAACATTTCCCATTACACAAATTTGCTTTGTAATCACTCCTACAGTACCACAGCTGTATCTCTCCCAGCTGCACTTTCTTGGGATAGAGTGCTCTAGCTAATGCATCCAATGGAGCAACTATTAGAATTCTAACATGTTTTGTTTGTTTTTTTAATTCAGGTAAAGCTATCCCAATCAGCAACTGGTTACAGACAGACTTGGCATGAAGTACTGGAACAAACAAACAAAAGTGAAGGAAAACCGCACTCAAAAATTACCTGTTTAGTTATGTTCTCCTTATGAATGCCAAAGCGTCATCTGGATTTAAGTGAAATAAGTGAGTGCTCCTTTATAAAAACATGTTTATCACTTAAATAATGAAATAATGAAAATATCATTTTAATGGTACTGCAAACTACATCGTGAGTCATAAAGAAAGTATGACGTAATTTAATTGAACTATTTTCATTTATGCACTATTAAAATTAAATGAAAGGTAAACAGCAAAAATATTTCATATTTAAGCTGAACATTCTCTGAGTTACAAAATTGATATTTTCCAAAGATTTCTCTGCTGACACATCCTCAAGACACACATAAAAACAAGTCACTCTAAAATAGAAGATTAAGACAATAGGGAAAATGTGCCTGTGAAGGAATTTTTAATTATTATACACACATTGTCTTCATAAGAATGTAGAAGAATCAACATAAACACCCAAAACTCTATAATGTGCAACTTCCTGTATAGGAAGAAGGCTCCACAGCCAAAACATTGTGTTTCCTTTCTTCTTTTTTTCCAGCATGGAATAAACCTTACTTATTCCTTTGCAGCCCTACGCATGCTGACGCAGCTACCCACCTGAATTACAACTTCCTGTATATTGTCATATACATATTGTCTTCCCATGGTGTCTTATTTTGTGAAATTACAAAATGATGCAAGCATGTGTTTTCCAGTAGTTCAGTTAAATTCTAACATTGAACCAAACCAATGAATATGAAGAGATGGTGCACTTATTACTTTGGCTTTAGTTCACCTGGCTGAGCTAATATCAGTGGTGGCCACAGTCACATCGGTCCTCACATAGGATGGACAAGCCAGAGAGAAACAGCTACAAAGCTTAAGCTGGGTAGGAGGACGGAGGGGTGATAGAAAAAATTAGCACAGCACCTTCTCCAGCCAGAGATCTTATAAGTGTAAGGAAGGGAAAGAGCAAGATTAGAATTTGACCTCCTCCTCAACTTCTGTTTGAAACACACATCATTTTAAACTTCATATTTTATTCAAAATCTGAATGCTCCAAGTGAAGATGAACTGTATAAGATGAGAACCAAATCTAAAGCAAAAAAAAATGAAAAATGTGGATTGCATATGTCTTTAGTTCCTTGAACTCGGTATTTGGAGGAAACACCTTTGGCGGCAATAACAGCTGCAAGTCTTTTGGGGTCTTTCTCTAAAAGTCTCCAAAAACTGTGGCCTCGTCTTTTGGATCATAACCCTGCTGAAAAGTGAATTTGTGCCCCAGCTTAAGGTATTGAGCAGGTTTTGTGCTTAGAGCTAAATGCACTCAAGGACAGAGTTCCTGAGCTTTGGGGTGAATGTAAATGAACTCGGGGGATAAACGAGATGGGAATCAAATGAACGAAGGTTGAGGAATGGGGAGCAGACACATAATAAGTTAGATAGGTACTGAGCCTTTTAGATGAGCATGAAGCAGCTCGAAACATGATAGAAAACCAGTGCAAAGACTCCAAAATAGGAGAAATGGCTTGTACAGAGTGGCCGTCGAATTCTGGACATATTGGAGTTTGTTCACTGTGGATTTAGATACTGCAGTGAATTGGGGCATTGCAGAAATACATTCTGAAAAATACAAATATATTGACTTGATAACTTTTCTGGCACAGTCAAAGACAGCATATGGTATGTAGATTGGCAATATTTGTGAGATGCAAGAATAATGTTTTTACAATATTCTGCTCATGAGGGTCAAAAGTCAGACCAAGTACAAATATCACCCCTAAATTATTCCATTATGATTAAAATTCAAGCACAGTGCTGTCCACAGATCGGGTTACTGCATTGGCTTTACATAGGTGATGGGAGGTGAGAAGTAGCATGACTTCAGTCTTGTGACAGTTTAAATGAAAGAAATTTTTCAATCATCTAGATTTTTATATAAGAGATGCAATTAGAGAATGCAGAAGCATCTACTTCAGTTTAAGGTTTAGAATGGTTAATTTTCATTACTGGCCAAGTGGGAATGCGTAAATACTGGATAGCAGGAAGCCCAGGTTTGAGCCTTGGGCAGCGCTAGACTTAATGAACCCATCTATGAGTTTACTGAGTGATGCACTGGGTTACATTCAGATTACATGTTAGTACATTGTATTAAAAGTTCCAATTTAGTATTATCTGACCAACTAAACTTTTCTCTTGGCCCCCTTCATGGAGTATTCGGTCATTGCTGATCCATGAACACTTTTTCCTGTCTTGGTCACTGAACTCTATAGGGTTATGCCTGCACTAAGCGATCTCTTTTCCTAGTTGAGTCATTGATTTTTTTAATTTATTATACAGGATATCTGATGAATGGTTAGTGGTGCTGACCTGTAATTGGTATATGATGTCTGCTTCTGAACTGATGGACATGCTCGATTTAAATAAAGGTTTCTAATTTCACTTTACCAACTACCAATCTTTTTATTTGAATTTGTTCTTGGCCCAAAACTCAGGTGTATTTAGCATAAATAAAGAATTGCTCTAAGAGGGGTGCTGGTGGTTCAGGGGATGTGATCTAGTTTTTTTTTTTATAAAACAGCAAATTTATTTTGTCATTATTAAAGTGCATTTGCTGTGACATTTTGGTTACGGGTTGCTGCCTCAGAATGTTTGGGTCCTGGGTTCAATTCTAGCCTGATGTACTATACTATCTGTGAGCAATATTCTTTTTTTATCTGAGTCCCCTAGTGTACTTCCATTTCTCAAAGTGTTATTGCTTAGGTCAATTTCATTGTCTCTAAAATGTTCCATTATTGTGCCCTACATTGGACTGGTGGAAGCTCTGTGATCTTTAACCAGGGTAAGAATATTTCTGATAATGGAAGGATCACTAGCACCTGTTTCATATACAGTATATACAGTATATAGACATATTCATGCTAACACATGATATACAGATTCACCGATTGTGAATACAGGTACAAGAATACAAGATTTGTGACAAATGTATTGATAAATGTATTTTAATTGTTTACATCTGGCATCATAAATACTGTGTCCTTTAATATATAGAGAGGTGCACCTCAAGCAACCACACAACTATTTACTGTATGAGTCAGCCTCAATGTTGTGCAATATTTTGATATATATGTGTGTGTGTGTGAATGTGTGACGTTTGTAAAATAGGTGTGAGCCATCAAAAACTATTCCATAATGTCTGGTGATAAGCTTTGTAATTATGTGTACTCTGAAAGGACCTGAAGTTCCCCGAAAGTTGAAGGTTACTAATTCATATTAAAACAATCTAACATTTTCATTGGTTAGTTGGAAAAAACGATTTTTCTTTATTTAAAATCGTCTTGTTGTGCTTAATATATTTTAATGCATTTTGTCCCCTTTCAGATTTTATTTTACGTTTACACAGTAAACAGTACTTTTCCTTGCAGATATGCATAAACCTTCGCGATATTTAAACGGTGTATTGTTTCCAGTGTACATTTCTTGTTAGGAATTCCACGCAGTGTGGTTTTCTCCCTCCATTGCAGGATCACCTTTTGACAGCTGACTGTTAGGCACTTTCTATTTTTATCCCAGTGGCGCTGTTTCTCTTCTTACAACAATTGTTGATTACAGGCAGAAATAAAACAAATCAAGGACTCTCTTCTTTCTCAATCTGTTCGTTTCTTAAAATAACCTACTGAGTCGTGATCAACTCGTCCTTGAAAGCTGTATATTGTAAAAAAAAATCAAATGAGGGATTATGGATTGTTACAAATAGTCACTCTCACCAACCTCGCTCGGGTTGAATTAATGTGTTACTATTTTTGGACCCCCAGTGTTTCCACGGGAAACCTAATGACGCAATGACGTCAATGCAGGTCAATAGCAGACTGGAGGAATTGAGTGCTTCCATTAGATTTTGCAGTATTTTCAGAAACGAGGAAAGAACAAAATGGATGTGTTTTAAATGCACCCCAAAAAATAAATTAATTGAGAATATAGTAAAAACGGTAACCGTACCATTGAGTTACTGGGGAAAAAAAGAAGTTATAAACGGATGTTGCGTTTTCTCGAATTCCCAGGGATTGTGTTATATACTTCAGTATCTTGGATCAATGGTTTCGGGGTGAGATGAAGCTTTAATTTTCTTTCTTGAGCTCTTGCTTTAGTAATCCACAGTGTTAGCTGATGTAAAACTTTTGTTCTCTTTCTATAAGGTACGTACGGTAGCAAAACTATTCAGAATTTCTGCCTTTTTTTGGAGATAAAGCGTCAATGGACAGTGATACATTTTTTATTATTCATAAAGATTGTCTTTAAGATAGTAGTGGAACTCAGAATATTTACACACAGAGAAAGGTAACAACATTAATGAATGGACTGTAATTTATTGAATTATATATATATAGGTAATGCACGTGTTTTAAGGTGTATTCTATTTTTGCTTCATATACATCCAAATTAGATATCACTGTTAGAAAAAAAGTAAAATGTTAATGCTGAGTTTTAAGCTTAAGTGATGTAATGTGATGTTCAAAAAGGTGGGATTTCATTAAATAATAATGAGAGCATAAAAGGAATGTGATGAGCTATAATACAGATGTTTTTTCCAATAACATTTCGAAGATTGATATACGTTATAATGCTTTACAAAGCATTAAAATCGCTCTGATGTCGATCATTGCTATTTTAAGCTTATTTTAACTTCCTAGAATCCATTTATAATCGTTTACACGTGACTGCACAGTACATATAAAAGATGTGTATGTATTATATATGGGAAGAATATGGTAAAGGGATAGGGTGTTGGATGGTGGTTATAATGGTGGGGATGGAGGGGTTGTATGAAGATCATAAAACTATTATATCAGAATCTATATCACGGTCTTTGAAGCCAAATTAAGTAGTCAAGACAGGGTGCAGTCATTAAAATAAATAATTAGATATATATACGTAACCTTCAATTCAGCTATGAACAAAAATATTTTAAAACATTTTAAAACACTATAAATGCAAATGAGTGTGTACGGAAATAAGATTTTTTTTCTTTCCCAATCATTATTTCAGATGTAAGGGCGTTTACCCCAGCCTCCGAAGAGGAGTTTCAGCACCACGGTCAGCTCTCACCAATCATATTTTTTTCTTAATCAACATCGAATCTGTTGTTGCAGAAGGCTGTGTTCCCTAGGTCAGTCGTAAATTCAAGGGAAAAGTTATTGTTCAAAAGCTCATGGCAACAATATTAAATACACGAGATAATGGAAACTATAATCTATGCATTGATTGTCAGATAGTTCTTATTTGGCTATTGCTTAGAAAAGGACGTTATTAAATTGTTATTAATCTTTATATACATATATGCTTAATGCATATGATTATTTTATATCTGAACTAAATTGTAAAATTGAGTTATGCTTAGGGTCCTTAACACGAGGTCGTCTTCAGAAATGGAAGCCAGACCTTAAAAATGAACAAGTTTGTTTTTTTTTTAATTGTACGGTTTTTAATTGTACTTTTGTACAATACCAGAATACACAATGACATCATGTTAGGTAAATTATTGTACGTGAAAATAAATTAATTTATTTAAATTTTAGAACGTCTTGTGCAGAAAGGGGATTATGTCACAACTATACAAATGACGCAGTTGGGCGGTGAGGTAAATGGTCTGAAAGCGGACATCTGAAAGATCAGACTTCGTCTAGAAAACTTGTTAGTTGCTGTTTCTTGCGCTTTTCAAGACATAAGAATAAATTAATATAATTTCAGGGGTAATAATGTCCCTTCATTAGTATTGTATTTTTGAAAATTGATTATTACTGGCATAATTTCAAAATATTGGCAATTTAACACAATATGCTAAAGGAAATCATAATACCAGGTTAAAATAGAATCAATTGAATTGCCACCAAGGTATTAAATTATATTTTAGACTGTAGTTTTCCAGATGTGTACATACAGTACAGTGTATACCGTATATACAGTACATACAACCATCTTATTTCTAAAGTGAATTTAACAGAAAAGGGAAAATATGAATATAGAAAATACACCATACACAGTGTCCTACAGTCAGGGAAACTTGCTTTTTTTCAAAACTTGGATAGGATGTATAAAGAATGTGCACAGCATATACAGTATGCAGGCCCAAAATCTGTGTATATCTTTGAAAGTTCATGCTAAGTACATTTTACTATAAGTGACATCGAAAGCAGATTAAAAACACACTTTAATTGTATTAATGTGATTAATATTGTATATTGGATAAAGAAAAGGTCTGAGCTTTTTTATTATTTAATCACACCAATTCTAATTGCTATAGTTCCAAAAATTTAAATATATACGAATTTGACCAAATCTAACTTTATAACTAAATGAATTAAAAGTGCCTGTGCTATTGAGGTCACAAATCATGCTAGAGTACATTACATTGCCTCACATCCATAAAAGTTTAACTTTTTTTAGTGGTTGGTTTAGTTTTTGATGGAAATCGTTTACATTTAGAGTAACAAAAAAGCAATGCTATATCAACAACCCATATTTTGTAAATGTATTATAAGAGTAACTGTCACTAAATTGAATTTGGCTTTAGATTGGATTAAGGTATTTAAATATCAGATACTTCACAGGCACTATTTCATGAGCATTACAGCCTTTTGCAAGCCTGTCCAAGAATTTGAGCTATTTGCAAGTTGCAAGACATTTTGATCAAATGGAAACCTACATTTCTTAAAATATTTTTAATAAACATATACAGTATAATGTACTTAGAAATTATTTTGGATGACTGTGATATTTAATTTTCACATGATACACCCTTTTCTTCAGAATGCAAACATACACATTCTGAAGTCTGAATAGCAGAGAGACAGAAGGAGGCTGGGGAGTGATTACAACTTGTTTTAATCCTATACAGGCTGTCTATTTTTACCGTATCCACCAATATAAATACCTATTTAAATTAATTTGGGGCTAATCTAGCAAGATCTGCCAAGATGTATGGTATTTTGAATTGGTTTAACGGTTGTTGCTTTGTTTAACAATTTTGCTATGAAGTATTATTATAATATTTTATAAACATCTAATTTTAACAGTAAACAGCAACTCCACTTCTTTGATCAGTATTTCCTTTATCTGAATTTTAGCTAAAGAAGAGATGAAGTGTCTCCCTCTGTCGGGACTAGTATATTTCTTACATTTTACATCATTTTTCTATTTGACAATTTTTAATGGATGGCTACTGTAATTCTAACTTTAAAGCTGTACACTTTGATTTACCTGTTAATATAAAGTAATGTAATGTAACGTTTTTAAAAATCCAGGTGTTAGTTCAGTATCTGAAATTTCACATTGTTACAGTACCAACCCCCCCCCCCAATTGTAATGCAAATCAGTACTTTCAACAGTTATTTTCTAGTTGGTCACTAGTTGATCAAGCCAATAACCTGAATTCCATACCAGCCAAGTTCTAAGTTAAATTTATGAAGTATTTTTAAAGATTACTGACTCTACTAAAAATATTTCAGATTAAATGATATTGTACAGAGTTTAGGTGGTTTGCTGTCATTATGTTACTTGGATTGTAAAAACACTTTCACATAACTATACTTTCTCTTAAAAATCTGATTGAAATGGCAAATTGATGTACTGTATTGCTAAGGTACAGTAAAATATATCTAAAATGGTAGAAACATTCCTTAACCAGTGTGTGTGCCTCAAACATCACATGCAGTGCAGGTAAATTCAACATCACAAAGACAAAAACTACCATTTTGCACAGATGACTGCAAGGCACATGCACCACATAGAGGCCATCACATTGGTTGCTTGGCAGTACAGTTGGCAGTGGAGCGGCTCTCTGAATATGTGTGATGTATGACCTTCATCCATCTGTCTTGTGTAGGCATCACTAAACATGGGCGTCCTAAACATGCCTGGTCATTAATGTTCTGATTGCCACTATAGCATCTCAGTATGCACCTGTGGTGTTTCTGTAATATCTGTAGTGGTTTGCAACAACTTGTTTGGACTTTACAGCCTGATGTAGCAGTTGACTACACCCATTATTGTATAATTGTAGCACCAGTGTGGATGGGGGCTGTGTATAAGATGTGCAAGACCTTTTTGTTAGAATTTACGTTTTCTCTTTTTTAATTCGAGACTGCATTTTGCACATACAATTGAAGAAATTTGTAAAATGTCATGCCTGAACAGTTACCTGTGCCACTGATCTTTGTGTGAAAACTCTGCTGCAGATGTGTTTCATCACAGCATGTGAATGATGAAAAGTAACAGGGTGATAGATTAACAAATTTGACAAAATTATAATTCACTGTTTTAAGGGACCAGTGTATTATGAACAGTCGGTGCCTGTTGCTTAAATCCTGGTGATTTACGTTAAGTATATTTGACTGAAACTGAGAAGTGACGCTGTGTTTGAGACAGAACTGTAAAACTGAAGATAAATATTACTTTAAAAAACAAGTGCTCAAAAATCGTCAATAAAAATCAGTGAAAGTGGATTTTAATTTAATTTGTTTTATAAACAAATTTATAAACATTGGGAATCTATAATATGTGAATCAATTTATTTTGATCAATTTTAATTGTTAGTGACTCTTTTTCTACAGAACTGAAGTCATATCGTGGCTACTGTCCCAACATTGCCCTACCAGTGCTCTTCAGCTTTTCGAGATACATTAAGATCTGAAGGTAATACATTTTCTGCTTTTTGATTGGTGTAGCATCTCAGGAGGAAAGAAAGGAAGAACATGTTTTGATATATGCATAGTTAAATTATATGAAAACTAAACTTTTAAAAGAATGTGCAGTGTTTTATTGGCATTTTGTGTTACATATCCCTCAGCCATTGTCAGCACACATTCTGACATTCTGTCACAGAACATTGTATGTGAATTTTTGTTCACCTGTCCATATTGACTGGTAACTATATATAACTATAAAATGTTTAAGTTTAAACCAGATGAGCTTCCTTCTTAAATCGTTTAAGTTAAATATGGCGGCGTTTTTGTGAAAAAGGCTGTCCATTGTATTAAAAGCATACAACTTATAAATCCAAACTTTCTGAAAAGCAATCATCTTGGGTGTACTGGATTATAAACAGAGTGAAATGATATTATTCAGATACCACAGCTTTTTTTACTTTATCTTTTTTTGTGCACCAGACATTCATCTAAGTCTTTTATCACAGGCTCTCCCCAACATTCTGTACTCATATTTATGTTTCTTTTTTGTTTTCTTCTTAAAACTAGAAAGTTCATGGAATTGTTTCTTCTGTCTTTAACACTGCTGTCAATGCCTCATTTGAGCTCATTTTATTATATATTATTTTACACATGTGTAATTGATTTGTAGCTGCAACCATGTCCATAATACCTACTTCTTTGGTATCTTTTTAATGCTTTTTAATCTTTTGGTAAAATCTGTTTTAGGTTTTCACTTTCTAACTCATCCACTTTTATATGGATTGCTATGATTTTGTGTTCTGGTTCTGGTGACTGTGGCTTTCACTCCATCACATGAAATGTGTATTTTCTTGAATTTTATTCCACACTGTAGACTTTCCTATAAAGAGTGTCTGTATTTGCATGAACATTACATTTTATCTCAGTTATTGCAGCCATGATAACTGATTTGCCATGCATTCTTCATCTCAATCTTACCCAAATCAGAATTTGTCCCAAATTTTCCAATTTTCCTAATGCTACATGCTTCACATATATAAAAGGTACAAATTAAGTAAAATGCCAGTAAAACATATCTACAAATACATGTTCTCACACAAATGATAAATTTTTACATGAGCAGAGTATGATTTCAGTACCGGTACTCTTGTAATAATTTAATTTCTTGTAATAAGCAGTTGAATAAAGTATACATTGTTGTAATGTCCAGTAAGTCCTTCCAATTCATTATTTCATACAGTGCTTTGTGGACTGAGTGTTGTAAAGGTTCCTGAACAGAAATGTCATTCTAAACTGTACTTCTAGCCTTACCATTAGAATTGTATTAATACTTATATTCTGTCATGTCTGTTTGTTGTGTGTGTTTTATCCTCACACTCTCACAACTAGTTGACCCAGTATTTGATCAATTTGATTAAATCTTTAATGCTATTTAGTTGGTCATATTAAAGTAACTGCCAGGCCACTTACTAAAAATGTGAATGTGCCAATATTCATTAACGCACGGAATGCTCATTTATGACTGATGCTTTTGAATCTTTGAAAGAAACTACTTTCAATCAAATCTAAAAACATTTTACTCTACTTCCCTTTACATTTTAAAGGAGTGCTTAATAACAGTATGGACACATTTGTACCAATTATTTCTCCACACGCCTTTTCAAAGAAAGGTGATGTTAATTTTTTCAAGATTATTCCTTCTTTTCACCCAACATTTAGTTATGCAACATGTAAGTTTTAAGTTGACAATATTTTAACAGTTCATTGAGCACTGACCTGAGACTAATTTACTTGCTCAGTCATAGTGAGACCAGCTCATAAACCTGTAAGCTTTATTGGTAATGCTCTGTAAATTTATTTTCCCACACAATCAGATTTTCTGTTTTTCAGTCTTACCAAAGAAAATAATTCGGTGTGGAAGAATCCTTGTCCTTTTTGGATCTTTTTGCGGTCTGGGCTTGCTGTTCCTAGAACCAGTAGTCAGGAAGCCCTTACCCCAAAAAGTATCTGCAAAGGACGCATTCAGCCGAGAAACAGTTTTCTACTAGTCCAGATGTAAGTTACGCTGAAGAGTTAATAACGTGTTGATAATTTTGAATCATTTCTCATTGTTTGCGTATTGTATGCACATAGTGGTTATTCAGTTAATGCAGGGTTATTCAATTCATGCGAAACTGTAAAGGGAAATTCAACTTTGTAAAAAAAATAAATGTGTTTTCTTACCTGTGCAAAACTACGTGAGGAAATAAGACTGATTACAAGTGAAAAGGGTATTGTGATGCCCCTGTAGCTCATCTAGTTTTTCAGTCATCAGTTGAATTCAAGAATTCCCCCCGCCCAGTTCTTTCTGACAAGAGGCTGGCGTTTGAGTTCCAGTAACACTTCTTGACAACATGTGCCAGAATCTCACACCCCTGTACATAAAGAAGAGCCTTGTATGCTTAGATTCAGCTCCCTGTAATATCAACTTGTGTAATCTATTTACAATAAACATCTTAAATCATGAAAGACTTCAGATGTCCTAATTCACTGAGACTTTTAATGAAAACCAAATATGAAAAACAGAAAATGAAAGACACCTTTAGTAAAATGCTGTCAGTCATAAATTCTTCCATAACAATTTAATAAATAAAGATAGACGTAACCACAAATGATTTTTGTACATCTTTTTTGAGACCTAATGATCTTGCCACAACTGAAAGATATCACCCGTACTCAATCACTTGCACACTGGCATAATACAAACAGAAACGATGGTAATAGTACACTGCTGCCTCTCAGTAGTAAAGCTACTACACCATTTAAATATGTAAATAATTTGGCATTATGAATAGAGGACGGTATTTTGCAGATGTGCACAGGATATTTAAACAAACCAGAAAAGTAAAATTTAAGTAACAATGGGATATTTAATTTTGATGACTATAGATCTATGGGGAGCAGATAATAAAGCCTTTCAAGAGTGATGATCCTACTGTTGTCATTTCTTCCTTTTTTTCGCTAGACTCAAGAACTTTAGTGTTTTGCTTTCTTTGTTTTTCAATACTATATGTACCATGGACTGTTAAATGGACTGTGAGTCTTCTCTATAAAGAGCTATTCAGGCATATGAAAATGTCATGTCCTATCACATCATATTTACATCTGAATGCTAATATTCTAATAAACTGTGCAGTTTCATACAGTATATAAGCTTACAAACATTTGCATTGCCTTTCAAATATTAAAATTATTAAATATTTTACATTTGTAACATTACATTTAAGAGGTATTTTCCCATAATAGAAATTATCCTCCCAAATAAAACAGAAATATTTGTTGACTTCATGTTTTATTTTTATATGTGTGTTGAAATAGCCTCTGTCCTCTTTAGTGTCCAGTTTCAATCTCTGTGGTATTACTGTACACTTGTTTGTGATTTTAACACTTGCTTGTTAAAATAAAAATTTGCATCATCCAGTTTCGAGTGTAAAAGTGCTCACCATTTAGTTTACAATAATAACGACTATAAGAATCAAAATGCACTTGAATTAAAATTTTAAATAGTTTTAAATAAGAGTCTACTGCAGGAATAATTAAAATAGTTATCAAAAAGATTGTGACTTGCTGTAAGATTTCTGTAACCTTGCTTATGTTTCTTTCTTATACGTTTTGTGTATATGGTGCACATTTGACATTTTATCTTGAATATGCAAGGGACATGACTTTGAGCTCTTAGGCAGTGGGAAACCTGGGTTTGGTGGGTTCAAGATTATTGATGAATCTGTGCTTGGCCAGGTACAGAGGGCTTTTTAGTGTCATCAATGTGCAAGTTGCATCAGTCTTTCATTTGACACCCTAGCTTTCTTTATATGACAATGGTCATCAGGAACGTATACATGTGTCAACTTTTCACAACTTGCTTATTATGGGTGCGGGAACATTTTGCTTGTTTCAGGTAGAATATCCGATTGCCTTAAAAAATAATGATCTGGTTGTATTAAATGTGTTTTTTTTTTCAACTGATCAGGGTAAATACACATTAATTTTGTAAGCTTTCTGGGCTATACTTTGACAATACTGATGCTCAGTATACATTTACTTCCTCATTTGACTTCCTGCATGAATTGCCCTGTAGTTTATTGCATCCTTATTGAGAAATCCACATACCGTGGGAGGGCCAACTTTTTCTAGAGGATTATTAAAACAGATCAATTGTAATGTATAATTAACAATTACAGCATAGGAGCATTTTTAAGCTTTCTTTTACCTACAGTAGCATGTTTTTACATAAATCTCCCTCTCACCAGCCTTTCATTTTATGTCCTTTAAAGTTATTTAAAATTTGGTCTTTTGTTATCTGTGCAAGGACAATTGCAGGTTTTGCAAACATAAGCTACTGTATATCCATCGGTACACCAGGTTGAACTAAAGGTAGTATTTTCTATGTAAATCTCACATCCATTTTGTTTTATTTTCTTTAGTTCATTCAGTTTATTGTTTTGCATCCATAAACATATTGAATTTAATCTCACTCATTAATCTGATTGCATAATGAATGCTAAAATCAGAGTGCATACAGTGGCATCTGGGTCATAATAAATGATTACAGGTTAGGAGTTTAAATAGTTACATGGTAAAGAAGAACTCCAGGCTCTATTTTGTCTTTCCTAATCCCACTTACACATCACTACACACCACAGTATTTTAAATTCCATTACCAACTGCCAGTCTTTTGTTCCATGAAATCCATGTTCATGTAGCACTCAGAGCAAAACTCCAGAAGAAACTGAAGTGGTTGGAAAGACCTGAAGTGATAGAACAGGTAGAACAGCCACAACATGATCACACAATGGTCACATAGAGTGTGAGAAGGTACAGATATTCATAGACTCTGGGATCTGAGTGCTGTAATTGAGAGAGAACACTCTGTCCCCAATGAGGACAATTCTACTGGCAATTTTTAAGACAAAGTATTTAGCATACTGGATGCCCAGTGTGGCTACTGGCATGTACGACTACATAAAG